GGTGCATTCAGCGAACTGAGCGATCAGTAGACATGTTCAGTGAGCGATTTTACTGACCGATTAATTTTCATGAACGCAATGCTACTTCAAATGTCGAAATGATCACATTAACCGCTCCTTCAACTTATTTACTTGAAATGTTGTTCTGTTCATCCTTAAAGGTTCCGCAAACTAGTCAACTGCATACCGTGGCACAATTTTTTTCATAAAAATGTTTGGTCCTTTCTTTTAAATTTCTTTCTTTGAAAACTGTTTATCCAGTGCGGATGGCACAACTAAATCTATTTAACAACCCAAAAAATCTAGTAAATTGTCGTCCCAAGCACTTTCAAGTAAAAGTACTTTTAAATTTTCGTTACTCATTTTTTCTGTATGCAGCAGTTGATCGATCAGTGACAGCATTGTGAGCGCTCAATGAATATGTTTACTGAGCGCTCAGTTCGCTGAACGTACTCATTATATACATATGCATACTATGTAATTGGCGTAGAATTACGTTATAAATGTGATATGGATGAAGAACGGAACAGAGCTTTCGTAGAAAACTAATTTTCATTAATTTTTTTATAATATCATTATTAATTATTGGTGATGATGAAAACGGTATATTTTTGTAAAAATTACCAAGTTTCAGTTTTTATTGGCATATGTCCGGAGAAGCATTCACAAAATGAGTATTAATTAATTGCGTAAGTAAAAATTTTATGCAAATAAGCGAAGCATACCAGCATGAATTGTTAGTTATGGAAACAAACGAAATATAGTTGACAAAAATAAAAGTAGAATACATTTAAAAAGGAATATAAAGCGTACTTACCTTCGAAAGAATCTTTCTGATTTTCTTTTTGCTCTTTCTTCCCTTGTGGATGTCTTAAATACCATGATAAAAGATTAATATCGGTTCGGACCTTATCCGAATCGTACATTGGCCTTCTAATGTTATAGGCTCTATCGCCGCAAATCCTGACTGATGCAAGATGACTTTTGCCTTAATATTTAAATATGAAGAAATTATCTTAGTATCTCAATCACAACATTTAAGCCAATAGTTGTCGAACAATTTTAGTTGTTATCAAATATGTACTTTGTATACGTGTAAATGGTATAGGTATGTAACATGTACATGTACATACAGTTATAGTAGTTGCATGTACGAGTATGCATAAATTAAGTGCCATCCATTTGTATTATTTGGTTTTCTAGAACCTTGTAGCATTTTAATTTTGATTTTTTTTTAGAAAAAAAAAACCATGGGGTCTGTTCAAAGAGTATTTCGAGTTGAGAACTTTCAACTACGTGTAATCGATTTTCAATATGTTAATCATGTTTTGGTTGTTGAGTTTGATTGCAATTTTATTGAGAGAGTTTTTGGCTCTGCCAACAGCTTCTCATTAGCATTGCAAGAAGTGGGTTTCACTATTCGCTAATGAGTAAAAATAATTTTACTCACTCTTATGCACAGATTTTCCCAACATTGTTTGTATGCGAATTTATGAAAAAAAATTTATCGTATAACTGAAAATTGGTTATCTTGATCTCTCCGAGTTTAAAGTAAAGATCAAATAAAGAAAAACAAAAATATTGGCTGTAGTATAATAAAGTATTAAGTATGTTTTATTAATGACTTACTATTATATGCATAAGTTAGATTTATTCTGAAAGTTAAGTTGAATTTAAGATTTGAGATTTTTAGGGAATTCTGACCAAACTTCAAAATTATTAACACCATAGAATTAAATTTGCCCAAGCTCTCTAGGAAAGGTTTACCACTTATCTGTGCAAAAATTCACTAATATCAATGATATTTTTAAGGGGCACACCTAGTGTGAAATTCAAAAAAATATTTCGGTAGATTACACCTTTAAAAACAACAATCGATATCTCAAATAGTTTTTGAGTTATAGCAATTTAAAGAGCAGCCGCTTGGCAGCTGGAGAGCCTCATTAGCTACGAGTGAAAACGGTCATTTTATCTTTAAGCGCGTTTTTCTCGAAACAGCATTTTCCGAATTTGCTGCAGTGATTACTCAAATGATCCGATCACTATCGAATTTTTTTTACAATGACCTATCGATTTTTGATTTGATCAAAAAATCGAATTTTGACAGGCCAAAAACGACCAAAATTTTGAGTAAAATTCGACTTTTTTTTTTAAAACGCCGTCATATTGTTAGTTTTTGATTTTTGATTTTTGCAGACAATATTGTCTAGTAGAGAAAAAGAGTAGAGATTTTTTTTTTAGATTTCATCCACGGAGAAGGCCGGAATAACTGCAGCAGTGAAGGACCGCGCCGTTGGAGATCGACTATAACTTGAAAAATATTTAATTTTTTTCTTCAAAAATTTTCATTGTATATTCTTGAAACATGTATAAATATATTCTTAAAATTTTGAAATAATTGATGAAGTGTTTTTTTTAATAAAATTTCCCAAAAATCACCTTTTTGTTAGGTCATTACACTAGGTGTGCCCCTCAATTCCAAATGAAAGTTTTGCTTAGTATGCACACTGCTCTATGCTCTGTTGAAGTATTGGTAGATTTATTTGTAAACTTGTATATTTAAATTTTTGTATGGTTATCAAAAACACTATAGAGAATTTAAGTGCATACACACGTCTATGAGCGCATACGTTTATTGTTGATTTATTTGATTTCCGGTTTGGACGAGCTGCTCGTAAGATGCTCGAAAAAAACGCCGACCTCTAATGTAAACCCTACTCTTCTTTAATATGAGCCAAAATTATGTTAACTTGAAAAAATAAGCACTTTAAATAAATCATAATTTAATAATTTCACTATATATTGTACACTGGCATTTCAAAGGAGGATAAGGGTAAATAATAATGTAGTTAATAAAAAATATTAAACATCTTATTATATTACAGTACTTCACTGCACTTATCTATATATACTTATATACCTACATATTGGTTTATCATATTAGGCATTTGAAAATTGCTGCTGCTGAGATATTAAGAGAGATAATCGGAAATTAGTCGCTTATCAAACTTCTCCCCGAATAAGAACAGTTTGCAACCATGTGATTGAAGCCGCATATCGTCGTAGACAAGCATGAATGAGCGATCTTCGAATGACCTACATTTTTTTATCTCATTCCTAACTTTTTTCGTCGATCTATTGATCTGTTATCCTCTTTCCGGAGATAAAAGTATTGTATAAGTTAATCTGGGCCATAACGAAGAGAACATAACATTGAGAACCACTCCGAAGCAGAAAACTCAAGCGAAAACTAGAATAATGATAACCAATAGCAGCATCGAGTTGCCGGTCCGAAATAAATTGTACTTGTGTCGCGATTCGCGATTGGCCAGCTTACCGATGACCCGAGGAAAACGGATAAAAGTTGTATTAAGATACAAAAACCTCGGTAAGATATTCGAGACAAATATTGCTTCAAATAACGAAGCTTTGTCACCAAATCATAATGTTCTCAGATACACTGATTCTTGAATCATATTAATATAATTCCTTCTCACCAATTTGGTTTTCGCGTAAGAAAATTATGCAATTATTACCCATTTCATAAAATCCTTGAATTGCACTTATCTAATTGGTAATGCAAGTCAAGCAAAGAAGTAGAAATCGTCAAACATATGCACATAATAGCTTGGCCTACCCAGCAAATCATTCTGAGGAGATGACGCTGCTCGAGATGCAAGTTTCTACCTAATATCAGTATTACAATAAGTGCTTAAATATATGTATAAATGTGGCAGACTCGACTACACGTTGTTGTTGCTTTCCGTACTTTGTCCAATTCTAATTTTAATTTTAATCGGTATTTCAAAAAGCGATAAAAGGCCCTAATTAAGCATCATTCAATAAAAAATATTTATTATTATCATATATATTATCATTTTGTGTCAAACTTGAAAAAAAGAATCAAAAAAGTTTATTGTGATGATTGTATGAGTCGTACGCAAGTTTATATGTGGTTTACACGATTTAAAAATGGTCGTGAGGATTTAAAGGACGACCCTAGAGCAGGACGTCCAGAAACTAGTAATCGTGCTGAACTGGTGGAAAAAGTCCGTGAAATCATTGGTATCAATGCAAATATTACTACGAAAATGTTGGCTGAGGAATTAAATACGAGTAAAAGCACTATTTGGAGAATTTTAACTGAAGATTTGGGGAAAAGGAAGGTCTGTGCGCGATTTGTTCCACATGAATTAAATGACGACCGAAAAATCGCTCGAACTTTTAATGAAAAAATGGATTTCTCTCATCGACCATCCTCCGTATTCGCCTGATCTATCACCATGTGACTATTTTTTATTTCCAAAACTGAAAACCAAGATGAAGCTGCCATTCAAGCAGCCGTAACCGAGGTGCTGAAGAACATTTCTATAAATGACATATAAAAATCTATGCATGCGCTGGTTGATCGTTCCAAACGTTGTGTTGAGTCAAATGGAACCTATTTTGAATAAATAATAACTTTCAAAGATAATATAATGTGTATTTTATTTTATATCTAAAAAATTCGGTTATTTTTGGTACACACGTATGTACCAAATTTTAAGTAAATCGAACCATGATTTGTTTTAAAATATGTCCAGTCACCTTCCAGAGGGAATAATAGTAGTGTTGCTGCTAATATAAGCAGAAAGCTATGTACGAGTATGTAACCCATTTCAAGTAAATTAAACAATAAATTCGTTTTTTTTTTTCGGATATACCAGTCCCCTGGTCCACTTTCCGTATCTCTTACTGTTTAAAGGAATGTTGGCGCACATTAAGAGATTTGCTGGGCTTACCATACACTTAATTCGAGCTATGTTTGTATGTGTTTTTAAGTGGAGTTACAATTAAAATCTTGTGATTTCACTATTGGCAAACTGCTTAGCTTCTCTAGAACAATTGAACAGAGTCCGCACTAGGTGGTATACTCTTGGGTTAAGCCCATACATAAATTCTGGGAGAATCTTACTTAAGAGAAATACGCAAATATATAATATATTTGTATAGTTACATACCAACATATTTTCGAGCTGGTTCAGGATAATGAGACATCCTGTGAACCTCCTTAGCTACATGACGAACAGGATTTGTTATTCTTTGTACGTATGCATCAAGAGCAAGCTGAGAAGCCGGCTCGTAGGTATATCTTTGAAAAGAAAAATAATTTATGTGTAAATATGTTGTATAAGTACACATATATAACAACTTTTAATTATTTTAAAATCAATTAAATATTTTTTCACTTACCCAGTTACTGGAAATGGTGTGCAGCTGCGTGCTCTACGGACAACCGGGGAGTGGATGTCACGAATCAGCGACTGAGCTCTATGGCGAATTCTGTTGGTTTCATCTTGAAAAGTCTGTGAGCCAATACACGAATTGAAAGGAATAATTGTGAAACGGAATATGAAATATGAAATGTTGTTAAAAATATCTGAATTAACTGCACTCCGCCCAAATTATAACTTGGATTGGTAATGATATATGTACCGTAATTTATTGCTGTTGGTTTTGCCTAAGTGTAGTTAACTCAAATATATGTTAAAGTTTGTTTCAACTACAAATATGATTGTATTCTATAAATCTTAATATGTTAATTTGTAAACTCACTGAATAGGGCTCGGTGCTGAGGTAATTTGTTAGAGCACGGGCTCCATATCCTGGTAGGGTTCTCTTCAAGTAGGGTATTGTTGAACGAACTGGAGAAGTTGTTATCCTCACTGGAGGGCTCAGGGAGCGAGTGTATACGCGAGATATAGGTGAATAATAATAGGATGGAGTGGAGTACACATAAGAGGATGGCGATCTGTAAATAGTTGTTGGCAAATATGTTGAGCTATATAAGCTCGGTGTTCCGTAGGAGTATGAAATCGTACGCTCCGGGGAAGATATCACCCTTGTAGTTGTACGAACAACACGAATTGGCGATGGCGAACGTACAACGCGCGTAATTACGCGGGCTGGGGAGGTGACTACTCGAACAGGCGAAGTAACAATACGTGCTGAGGAGTATATCCGTTTAGGAATTGTATATGACGAGTAGATTGGATAACTCGTTTTATAAACCTAGTAAATATTAACAGGTTTTTGGTTATTTAGTTGTTTATAATTTACGATGGTTAATTTACAGTTAGTACAAAGTTTTGTCGATTTTATTAATATTTTATTATTGTTTAAAATTCAAACACACATATATGCACATATGATCGTATTTTTTATTATATACCTAAGCTCTACGCCTCTACTGAATACTAAAATCTCATAACATGTTTCCATGCATTTTTCGTTTACGAAGCATTTAGCTTCGGTCGGTTTTTGACGGCCATACGTCTAAGCGTTGGGTAATCGTCATACAAGCTTTCCCATTTGGACTTTCCTTTTGGACAAAATAACTATTACATTCAAGATTGTATCTTCGTATATAAAGAATGTGTTTAGGAATGTGGTTTTCAATAAGAAATAAAATGCATATATTTTAAAGTTAAGACCAATAATTTAGCTTTCCCCATTGACAAACATTATGACCAGAAATATGGACCACTGATTCCCTCTGCCCAAAGACTACACCAAATGGTGACTTTCTGAGGATGTATCGATGGATCAATAATGGTTTGTGGATGATCAACGCCACAAAAGCGACCATTTTGGTTTATTTGAGCTTTATCGTTGAACGAACCAATATCTTTCCGGAAAATCCTCCATCATTTGGATGGGCACAGCTCGAATTGTTGTGTACGATTTGGCGTCTATGAGGATGCACATTATTTACTAGAGCAAACGTGGTGCGAAGCCGATTTATGGTTGCTCGAATTGCCGATGTTGACCGAATATTGAACGCAATTCTTCACGAATCTGAACAGCGAATTAATGATCATCGTTATTGTCTTAATACATAAAAAGTACTGCAATCCCGGATCTTAGTAACAATAAAGAAGAGTTGTAATCTAATATTTATATTTCATCACAATTAATACTATTGTTTGTGCTAGTAACTCTTAACCGCTTATTTTAAAATTTTGTTACAATGTACGTGCTAATATAATACTTACGCGGGATACCCTCTGCACAACCGGATACTGAAATATAGAAATTCAAGAATATTTAGAATTACTGTTATATATGTATGTATTTTATGTATTTTTAATCTAATTTATGTTAGCGAATCTAGTTTAGATTTATAGGATAATATACTTTCGCTTAAACACTTCATTCCTTATTTTTGTTGTAGAAGTTCGTGGCATTTCGCTTATGGTGCAGGTAAATTTAATTATCGTTATCACGATCATCTAGCAATAGGACTGATAGAACGAGCTGTTTCGGTAGATTCCGCTCAGTTAGAGAGCGTTTCAGATGCGCTGGTTTAAGGCGGTCGAATCAAGCGGGGCCCTGAGTATATTTGAGACACACATACATTGGGTATGTTAAGTGGAGAACATTGTAGTAGTATCTAATTCATGCTTACACAATTCAAGAATTTAAAGATACCATGGAATTTACTTAAGATTAAGAAACTCGTAACATTTTCACAAATGTTTAAGCCAGATGAAAATTTTGTTTAATTCATATTTATATTATGCCGGGATAGTAGCCATATTTGAGCGATTTCATTCGAATATTTATATTATGAATAACTTCCAAATGTACATACTACGTTATTGTACCCCAAATCATAGTTTCTGGCAATTCATAATAAATAATGAAACTACAACGCACATTTACTGGAGAGGCACGACGAATAAGATAGCCCTAAAGAGTAAGTATTACATGATTATTATCCTATTAATTTTTAATTTACATATTTTTCATTTTAATGCACTAATAAGATCTTCATTGACTTAGCCGACAATCGCTTTTAGTTATCCCTTTTTCCATTGTTTAACTAAAAATTTTTCTTCATTGTTTCATGCCGTGAAACTAATTTTTATTCATATAAATCTAGAATTAATCTATTAAATTGCAATCAAATTTATATGCAACGCTTTTATTTTTGTTAAATTACAATGGGAATTGAATTCCAAGAAAAAATGCATTTTTGTTTAAATTATTTCTGTAAAAATTATTATTTTTTTTACAAATTGATGTAAAACATGTACCTTTATTTCATTTAGCAACTTTTGTACTAACGGTCTTAGAAACAGTTTTCTTATTTTGTTATCAACTTTTCTTAGTGATTGTTCCAAAATATAGAGTCCTGGAGTTTGTCTGTTTATGTAGATACTAGAAATAGTTGCCTTCGTTCATGCCTACTTCCTCATACCTCTGATCATTCAAAATTTATGGTATTTCATTTTAAGAAGGAGTCGGTAAGTAATGTAGTATTCCGCTTTCGATAATTTTCAGCACCAATATGTAATATTATGTGCAATTAATCATAATACCGTAAGAATAAATTTATACCAAAAGAATCAATTTTAAAACTTTAATAGACACTTACGTTCAAAGGTTTTTTCTACAATATATGGTGTACATCTTGATGTTGTTCCACACCTATGACACTACTTTATACATATGTAACTACTCTATACATATGTAATTAATACGTCGGCCGCGGTAGCCGAATGGTTAGCATTGCGTACATTGCGCCATTTGGAAGGCTCGGCTCCAACTCCTGATATCGTACTAACATTCAAAAGTTAAAGAAACTTAATTTAAATAAAAATGTCAACTCCTCCGAGTGTATTTCTGACATGAAATAAAGCTCCTCATAAAACCGTACGAAGGCGGCTTAGTATAAATTGTAGGTCTCCCCATTTGTTGGAAAAAATCAAGACCCAAAACCACAATTTGGAGGAGGAGCTCGGCCGAAAATCGCTTCGGCGGTTACAAAGCGCCAATGACATATATATCTATATATAGATAGGAAGACATATAGGTAAAATGCGGTCCGAAGTGTAGTGCCTTGGGCACAATAAGCATTGATTGCGCTATTTTGATGCACTATCGTAAACACCTTGGTAAATCTGCTATCTAGTTTTCATTTGGTGCTCCCATTCAAAGTACTTATATCAGTTGTGATTTTTTTGGGCAGCAAGCAAGGTATGGTACCTGAAGTATTCTCAATGCTTTCTTACAAATTTGTGAGAAAGCTAATCATCACAGAGAAAGTGGGTAATTATTGCTCTATTCCCAACTGCGACAAGGGCTGTTATAAATCAGACCCATTTTGTCCACCTGCTCTCACGAATGGTCGGTGCAACCTTATTGGGCTGTTAGTTTAAGTATACTTTAACTGAACCTGTTTAGTTGGTCTTTCCTGTTCGTTCCTAACGGACATGGTATTGATTCCGCTTTAGATCCGCCATTCTTCCGACTTAGCTAGATCATCAGCTTTTACGTTTCTTGAAAATATCCGATGGCCGGGAGCTCATATTAAGTAGATGACGAGTTGACCTGCCAGCGAGCTTAGAGCCATCCTACAATTGTTAACGAGCCTTGAGCTCATCGGGTTGGCAGCGATGACACTATCAAAGCAGACTGGCTACCAGAGTACTTCCGCTTGGTGGATATCGGGTAAGCAATCTATTTTGAATTCATGGGTGTAGATTGAGGAGGTGTCCTTCTCTTGTAGCAGCTATTGAAATCTAACCTTGGAAGTCTATGGTCTGACTAACTTAGGGATGTTATGAAATAATTTAGTATGTCGTTTTTTGTTCCAACTGCCCCCTTCCATAATTCTGATAACAGAACTTGTTGCAACTTTCCCAATTGTTACAGACGTCATGATAAAAGCATCTCCCGGACATGACTTTATGACTCCAGTAACTCCTCCGCACACAACCTTTTTTCATAATATTCATAATACTGTAGAGTCAATATACCACGGCTCCATATGTAGTGTTACTCACAGAGGTATTATAATATTTCGCATAAGGTTATCATTTTTTTTTTTTAAGATATCGTGGGGACCCATTGGATTCCGTTATATAGTAGTAAGTAGTAGCAGTATTTGATCCATATTTCTTTAAAAATTAGAACCGGCTATAATGGCAATGAGAATCGCCCCAGAGCTTTATGACTCTTTTTGTGCCTGAAGTGGGGTACGTTGATTTGGCCGACTCTTGGTTCTAACAAGACGGCGCTACTCGGCATACAGCCAACAATATAATCAATTTATTGAAGGAAACTTTTGGTGATCGTGCGATTTAACACGTAGATAAGACCAAAACGATTGACTCCTTGGAAATTAATATTCAGCGCGCTATTGCTGACGAACCCGATTTCTGCACTTGCCCGAAACAATTTTTGGAACATAACGGCAAACCGTTATCTTTATAATAAAGAAAAGGAATAAGCTGCAGCTGACAAAAAAAAAATATCGGATGTTAACGGATGAACGTCGTTTGATATAAGGCAAGAGGCATTGCCTTAAACCTTAAATTTATCGGTTATAATAAATCTTCGCACAAGGGGACAAAATAACGAGCTATGAATTACGTCTTTTGTATTTCGTTAAGACTATATGGGATATAAATATTTTTTTTTTATTTTTTAATGAACTACTTCTGTAGTATTAATCAATGGTACATAAAAACATGAAGCTAAATTATCAAATAAATCAGATAGAAATAAGAAGAATATAAGTTTTTCTTAATCATCATCCTTCACATAATACTTTTGCTAGGAACTTTCCACATTTCGGTCTATGAAAATATCGGGATCACGAAAACAAAACTAATGTCTATAAAAATACTTTTCACTCCTGCTGTTTCATATTCACCAAATACAATATTAACCGAATTTGAAACTCGTGAACAAAAAACCAATTCACTTATTGCTAATGATTCATGAATATCGCATTATTATCTTATTTAAAAATAAAACAGAATAAACTGAATTCGGTTAAAAATATTTTTTATTTTATTTCAGGTTAAAATATTATATCACAATTAAATAAGTTGCGGTGTGTTATGTTATATAGGGGTTTTGTTCCATTTCCATATTAAACAACATTATTTCTGACTAAAAGGCTATGCAGGTTATATGTATATGTATATTTATAAACAACATGAACATATACTTTTTTTTTTTATAATTTTGTGTCTATATTTACAACTACATACTTTTAAAAAAATATTGTTTGCGGGCATACATTGCGTTGCTCAGAAAGTAAGCTGGTACTTACGAATGTTTCATGATATCGAGCTCTTATTTAACACAAAGATGTATGCAAGTGTGAGTGTATTTAATTGAAATTAGTGTGTTAGTGTTGTGTGTATTAGTTGGTAGTACATTTATTTATTTATTTTTTTTTTTTTCAGTGTATTCGGAAATACTTTTTTTGTTTGTTATGTAATTATATTCCGCTTAAACATGATATGAGAAATGACGATATCTGGTGCCACCTGGAAGAGTACCGGAAGTTGTTGAGGAGTAGCTATATCCGCCAGGACCAGCACCTGTGGTGCTCCTTCTTTCAGTGTTGTAGTTGTACGATCCTCCTGGGCCAGACCTAGATGAAGATTCAACGGTCGAAGTATATGAAGAGCGTTCAGGTCTCGCATAAGGATTGCTTGAATCGTACGAGCTCTTTTCAACGTTCGACTTGTAAGAGTATGAATAGTCATTAGAAGCTTTTTGCCTGTGGGTGCCTGGCCTTTCAGTACACAAGTCCAATCGTGGAGTCTGCGAAATTTGAGTGGCAGAATTTAAACTGATTAAATGTTCTATTTCCAATAAATTTATTCACTTACACGTACATATTAAATAAATACATAAGGTTACATAAAAAATTAAAAAAAAAAAAATATAAATTTATAATTCGAGTTCTTGCTGTTCCAGTGTAAAAATTTTATAGCACAAATAATATAAAAGAGAAAATTGAAACATGTTTGAACTTTGAAATAAATAGATGTTTACTTAATAAGTTAAAATCTTAGGTCTTAGAAATTTACCTAAAATTTATTAAAACTTCGAATAAGCATATGTATGTATGTGTTTTGAAAACAATCGATATTATTATTATATTTCATTGTACTTTTATTGCTTGATATTAAAATGTCAATTAATGTGTTTAAATGATAGAATCAAATTTGTTTTGTTCATTGCGTTTGTAAAGCTAACAAGTTTCGTTTTAATA